CTAGGTGCTCAAGCAGGACATTTTCATAGCTTGAAAACGCGCGCTGATCGCTTCAGGTACTTGCGAATTGAGGTATTGCACCAAGCGAGACATCAGCTTTTGGAGCCCGTCCTGCATACCCCGGGGCAAAAAAGAGAACTGCTTCATCCTAACAGAAGGTCAGTCGTGACGTCTTAAGTGTAGATCGACTTCAAGTGCTGCCATGTGCAGCGGGGCTGCCGTAGCTCTTTCGCCTCGAGGAAGATTGCTTTAGGTCGGTTATCTTGGTTCTCTACTTAGAACCAGTACGAGTGTAGCGGATCGCAATCCACCCACTCCAAGAGTAATTACATGATTAGCCCAAGGCTAATTATTTTTTCCGCTTATAACGTAACCTGAAATTCTCGATTTTATTTTGCGGCAAAGCCGCCTATATTAAAATCTATAGGTTTACCTATATATGTGGTAAAACCTAATCAATGAGAAATACTGGCAGGCCATGCATGACGTCTTGTTTAAGTGTATCCACACGATTGTATGATCACAAGATATTGTGTAACTTACACCATTTTGTGATCACACTATTTTGTGTGACCCACAAGCTTCATACCAAATCCCGTTACACACTCGGTCTACTTCTGTAAGAATACCCGTCGCCTTTTATGCCAAATAAGACCTTGATAACGCTGGACATAGCCGCCCTGCTTTTCCAAAAACTCCTTGAGCCATATGCACAGACAATCAACACAAAGGTAGAGCCTGCTTTTCTTTGAGCTTTTTAGATCTTTATTTTACAAGTCTTGAGATATGGATAAGACTTCTCGGCGAGGATGTTTTGCGATTTCAGAGGATCCACATTATGTTGAGAGGATTTGTCGATTGCCCAATCACAGTTCCGTTCTTCAAATCTGAAGTAGATCTCAAGCTGTTACTGCGGCACATTAGGTGATAAAGTCTCGTGGAACGGAAATAAGTCGTGAATATTGCTAAGACAATAACTGCGATATCTAACCAGAATATCACCAAGGGAGAAGACATGGGCCACTAACATGGATGACAAAATGAATGTTTTGCTGTAAATTTAAGATAGCTATAGCCCGCTTCAAAAACACCTCCAAAAACGTGAGTACTTGGTACCCGAAGGAAGTTTTGATCTGTGTTCCCGATAAGGCCTTAAGCTTACTCTCCATTCAAGATCATAGTTAATGTGTCGCATATTTTCTGCTATTTGCAACGTAACTTGTCGCATTTAGTTACAAATGCGATCCAACCTTAACAAACGAGACTTTTCCAGTATTGAAAGGAAACGAGCGGTCAATATCTCAAGTCGTTCCACTGGCGACCCACGTGCGGTCGCTGATCTCTCCCCGAAAAGGAAGAATATTTCGTGAGATGACGCTCATGAGTTAAGAACTATCATAGCTAAGATGTTTACTGACTCCTTCTTCGAAGCTGGTAAAAATTACAGTCTCCGGCTCGCGCTGAGGCCATCCGTATACACTTAACTTCATTTGATGAAGTGATGAATATTACAATTTACGCAGAGATAACATTTTGACTCGGAAGGGGCGGGTTGAAAATCAGGAGGTTGGGTCTCTTTGAGCTCGTCAGAGCGAGACCACACGTCAGTGAATACTCCCTCGCGCGTGACAGATCATAATCTATCGTTTGAACCTGACGTTCAAAACACGCTCCCAAAATCTCAGTAAGAGCCATTGGCACTTCATTAAAGTCCGATTGAGGCTCTCCTGGCGGTGTCTCGCCAGCATTCTTGTAGCTGTTGATATTCCTCGGTCGAGCAATACCGGTTCGGAGCACTGTCCATCGATCGTAGATTCGCCTCGAAAAATAAATAACAGAGGACTGGTAACCGGGCAAGATAGGTAAACATTTTATTGTCTGATCGCCACAGAGGATACAACGCAATTGCGTAGTGCTACGTGTCCTTCAAAGCATTGAGCTTGATCCCGTTCCTAGTTCTAGATCACATTATTTTTTAGCCTTGCTCTAGGTCAGACAGATTGGTGATTACCACGAAAGGTTGATGGAATATGAGAGTCCACCATGACCAAACTTGTTGACTGAAATTTAAAATTACATCGTTTGTTCAGAATTAAGCATTGGTGGCAATTGACAGCTTTTTTACTGAGATGAAACATATTAAAAAAAAACAATTTCAAGATTTTAGCCATCTGTAGAACAAATTGCTACAAATTTCACAACTGAGAAGACAAAATGGCGACACCGAGTGTGATGGCGAACGCTCGTCTATTGCAAGAGGTGTGATTATTTTTTTTAATTTGTACATAGGTCTTAGATGGTTCATTTGTCGAGTGATGTTTGTATCTTCTTGTTGCATTGCTGCAGCATATCGAGAACGCCCGCGAGCAGCTAACACAGTTGCAGGACCAGGTTGACCGTTATGGTGCCGTGGCCGACACGCTCGCAGAGCTACCCAATAAAATATCGCACAAAGTCATGGTGCCTCTAGGCAAGCGCGCAATGGTGCCAGGCAAGATCGTGCGCTCCAACGAAGTGCTGGCGCATCTTGGCAATGAGTATTTTTCGTGGCGTTCGACCTCACAGGCGGTAGAAATGATTGAACGCAAGAAGAAAGGTACAAACGCACTGTTTTTTTGCTAAAATGAGACGAAGTATAACTGTGTCTGCAGATTTATGCAAGCAGATTATGAAACAGGAGGAGAACCTTAAAGAGCTGTATTTAAAGAAAAATGATCTGAGCTGTATTACACAGCTTCAAAAACACTACGAAAGCGAAAATATTCGTGAGATCCAGGAAACAGAAGAAGAGAGCGAGCTAAGCACAAATTCTCATGTTACAGATGAAGGTGGGCATAATCGTATTGCTAAAAAATTTAGTGTTTATAGCGGTGACTGTTAATTATAACAGACATCAAGGAGTACTTTGAGCTGGAAGACGAGGAGCGACTGAAGCAGGAACAAGCAACGTGGAATTGGGATGATATGATGAAGCGAATGGAAGATTTGGAAGCGCGTGAAGCTGCTGGTGAAAGCTTTAGTGACAAGGGCAACACGACAAAAGAGGAATCATCGACAGAAGAACAGGCTGCTGCTCTGAAAAATAAGGGAAATGAAGCATTCGCTAAAAGTCTTTTTGAAATGGCTGCTCAGTATTACTCGCAGGCAATTATACTGGATCCAACTAATCATGTGCGTCAAATTTTGAAAGTGACCTCGTAGATTGTATCAAGTAACACGGCTTGCTGTACAAACTCCAGGTTTTATACGGTAATCGTGCTGCAGCATACCACCGGCTTAAAAAGTACAAACTGGCACTAGAAAGCTCTGAGAATGCCGTGTCGTTGCAGGAATCGTGGGTGAAAGGGCACTACCGGAAAGCGTGTGCTCTGGCTGCATTAAAGAAGTATGAGGAAGCTGCACAAGCTTATGAACGAGCCATGGAATTGTGTCCAACCGATGGAAAGCTAGCTGACAAAGCAAAACAGATGCGCGAAAAGGCGAAAGCTAAGGTTGGCATCAAAATTGCTCAAGGATCGGAGTTGAAGCCCCGACCGGCAACGATGGAGCAAGCACGTGGATTTTCAGCTTCAATGAAGCCATGTGCTGATCCAAAATCCTCGTCATCCTCGATCATTTCAAACACTTTGGCGTCAACGGCATTTTCAGGAAGTATTGTAGAGCATGAAACTTCCGTACCAGATGTGGATTTATCCCTTTTGGAACCGCGGCCATCTCGATTTCATGGCACCAACTACACCGGTCATACTGTAACTTTGGAACCCGTTGGCGAAGCTGTAAGTTTTCAATTTCTTAAACTGCTACACTTTATATTTGACATCAGTTTATTTGCACTATATTTCGCGGTGAAAGCAACCGGTAAAACGAGTTTCTCGATTCAAAGCAGCAAGATCAGCTCGTGGCTGATAACACACGTTTGCTTTTCAAGATGACATCGAATTCTACATAAAGATTTTATAACACAGCGTTGAGGCTTGCAATACTCAAACTGTTGCTGAAGAATGCTTTTATTCACATCATACTACCAGTCACCATTCATAGCTGCGTCCCTCTCGCGAACATTGCGTTTTTTTCGCTTGACAGCCACATCTAAAGACTTAAGAAACGATGTTTCAAAGAAATCCACATACTGTTTTAAACTGGTTGCAGACTTGTCAGAATTCAGCTCCTCGTGCAGTTGGCCTAAAGTGGGTACAGTAAATGGATCAAAAGCCTCCATATTGGAAACGTCGATAGGAACGCATACGCGGCCTGTCTTGGGGTGGACAGCAAACGGACTTTTTAGAAGATGATTCCGCTGTTTGGATACATTGGCATCCAATCGAGGGTAAAGATACGCCAGCACGATTTCCTGAAGACATACACGCAGCTCAGCCGCTGCGAAACGCTTGTTTGCATCACTGTTAGGTGCAGGACGCTTGACGTTGCTACCACTGCGCACGGAGCTGGCATTTTTCAAAACCTGCTTATCCACAGAATCTCGGAGTTCCTGCCACTTCTCAGCCGGGCTTGTATTGCAATATGTAGCACCCCAACGATGCATCATGTTAGCCCGAATGTCTTCGTCGGGCACCATAGCCAACAGCTTCGTCCAATGCTTCTCTGAGCACAATATTCCTTGACCCTCGGTTGACAAGATAATATCATGGAACATTGGTTCCAACAGGCGATAAGCCCGGCTGTAAGTCAGCAAAAGAAGGAATAAGCCACACATCAACCATTTATTGCGAATCAACTCACTCGAGCGATGGATGCAGTGGTTCACGTAGCTTGACTTTTCGAGCTGAATTCTCATTTCCTTCCACAAGCGACAAGTACCCTACCACTGCTGAACGTGCCTCGTTCTCTAATTCACGAGCCCGCTCGTCTGCGACCCAACAATGGATACCACGACGTCCAGAGTAAACCCATAACAAATGTTCATAGCCAAAGTCCTCGCGTAATGAGCCATCAAGTACCTTGACAGCAGCAATGATAAATTTCCAGCAGCGGTTGCAAATGGAGGCTCCTCCGCAGCATGTTCGGATGTCATCGTAGTCTGTTAAATCGATATCAAAGACGAGCTCGCGCTGCTCAGGTGTAAAATTCGCGGCACTGACCTTGCCCTTGTCAGCAGGAGACACCGAAAAGATGGCGCCGATATCGATTTTGAAAGGCAGCGTCTTGCGCATACTCATCTGGAGTTCGTCAGCATTGTGGAAGGCCTTGTACCGGATGTATGTGTCGTTTTCAAGAGTATACGATAGCTCACGGCGAAATAAAAGCTCCTCTCCTGTTGCATCAATCACAGTCATTTCTATGCTATGCCATAAGGTGCAGAAAAGGAGAGGTTAATGCACCTCCGTCGTAGCTGAGCCACTGGGTCATTTGCTGATACGGAAAAAGCCGATCTATTCGACATCAAATGCAGCGAAAGGTAATACGTGAATTGTCATTGAATACATAAGATATCGGCATATTGGAGATAATATATCTATGACCCAGCGCACCATAGTAGAGCTGTAACAGTTCCACAGAAAATTCTTCTTGCGGCATGAGACGATAAGCCGCTTTTGTGGTTGATCTTAACAAGAACAGCCGCAAACCGGTATTTTCAAATGTACCGGTTGTTTATAATTCCAGGTGACTATAAAGATTTTGACTGGTTGAGGCGGCCTGAGTGTGCCAACCAAACTCAGTTCTCGTTAGTACCGAAAAAACTCCGTCGGAATCATGGGTAAGCTTCATGGCCTTAGTTTATCTCCAATATCGTGTCAGCTGTGAAGATCCCATGAGGTGAAGATGTCGCTTCTACGAGCGCACGCGTCGATTGATGGGTCCGAGTCTCCAAGAGGTTCCCCATCTCGTCCGACTCCAGACTCTCTGCTGCATCCCATTTTGGGCAGCATTCGAGTTTGTGGTTCTTTGCCTCACTGCGCCCTAAAAATGCGCTTGACTTGGAGTTTCGGTCTTCTTGGTCGTATTTTTGCTCACTCTTAGTGCTAATGCTTTAATCAGGTATCTCTCGCGACTCGCGTCACAAACGCCGAGAAACTGGTGGCAAGCGTAAGCAATTCCGCAAGAAAAGGAAATTCGAATTGGGCCGGCAACCTGCTCATACGAAACTCGGTGGCAAACGTGTGCACACTGTGCGCGTCCGTGGCGGGCACCTCAAATTCCGTGCATTGCACCTCGAGACGGGCAACTTTTCGTGGGGCACTGAAGTATGCGCACGCAAGACGCGTATTCTCGATGTCGTGTACAACGCCTCAAACAACGAGTTGGTTCGCACTAAGACCCTTGTGAAGGGTGCCGTTGTTCTGGTAGATGCCACTCCTTTTCGTCAGTGGTATGATGCTCACTACGGTGTCAAGATTGGTGTCAAAAAGAATGCCGCCCAGCAAGATGAGGAAGAAGTCAAGAAATCGGACCACGTCCTGCGAAAGCTGGCCAATCGTCAGCGCACCCGCGTTTTGGATCCAAAGATTGACGAGCAAGTTGCTTCGGGCCGTTTGCTTGCCGTGATTTCTTCTCGCCCTGGCCAGTCTGGTCGCGCTGATGGATACATCCTAGAAGGCAAGGAGCTTGAGTTTTATCAGCGTAAGCTTGCAACCAAGAAGTCGAAGAAGTAAATTTTTCGTTTTAGTCTATAAGTTTGGTTTCACTACCTTAATGATAACGGAGTTGATTTCATAATGCTCTATTGTCTCATAATGTCCGATTACCAAACACTTCCTGGTAAATTACTTTCATTATCTTAATCAAACACCTCTTGGATGATTGAGTTCATGCTTCTATCACTTTTAATTAGTTACCATTCAGCACATATTTTTGTAAGGAATGGGGCGGTCGCAGATTAAATATCGCGCAACGCATGGGCGAGGACGAGGTAGAGGTAAGCACGAAGCAACGAGAGGGCATTCTGAAACAGAAGAGAATAGTAAGATTAGTCACTTGCGCTATTTGGGCTCCAACGCCTACCGCTTCAAGGAGCAAGAGGAGACGGATGAGATTGAAGAAGCTGCTCAAATAAACGACCACAACAACCGCACGCAGTATTTTGCGTCTGAGCAAAACTACAGAGATGATATTGGACCAACCTCGGGTGAGTACTTTCAGAGTCGCACAATGAAGCAGTGGGAGGAGGTAGACGACGTTGAGACTGATATCGGGGAAGCCTTTGGAATGCTGGTTCGAATGACTGCGTGTTTGCTACCAAGTTAAAATCTCTTACTCTTTGTGTCAGGACTTGAACTTGATTGCTTCACAGCTGAAGCTCGTTTCACCTGATAATCGATATCGAATGGATCCTCAATATTGCGTGAGCCCATCGTTATGACTTACGGAGGAAACGTCATACTCTGACATTGTTGTGTCTTTGCTAGATTGACTTTCCATTCAAGCCATTAAGGACAGATGTTAAAAAGGAAGATATGGAAGGTCACGACGATATTACAAGTAATATTGTTACTGGAGCTTGCCCGACGCCGACTCAGTCAATTAATAAAGGCGATGCTGAGCTGAATTCTCTGCTCAAACTCAGCAAATCAAGTTTGAACGAAAACAATTTGGCACACACACTGCCAGTAGCTCAACACGTTCCACCAGAAGCTTCGATCGAAACTGAGCTGCTAGAAGATTGGCTGGATGATGTGCTTAACATTTAGTATGTGTAGCTGTAAGACATGCCGAAATCTAATCTAATTTTCCTGCGTACTTTTTGCTCTCGTTAAGTAAATGACATCTACCCCCTTACATCTACCAACGCGCTTAGCTCCCTCCAGCCTATACACACCACGAAATATATCAATGCAAGCATCACTTGACCATTTTCTCGATCTCATCCACACCTAATTCGAAGGTTGTTTTCCTCCTCAAACAAGTAAGTCCATTCAATACCGGAATCATCACCGTAAATGGAGATCTTGTCGATTCCTTGAAGATCGTACCTTCCCTCTTTTGCCATGACATGTCTAAAGCTTGAAGTTACATCCTTTTTGGCATCTTTGGACACTAAACAGAGCTTGTAGGTGTTGCTAGTCTTAAAGGTAAGCTGGAGCTGAACACGCTGCTTCTTTACAGCTTCTGACCAGTCCAAAGCCGTATTACCGAATGCTTCAGTACTCAACCAAGTTCCCAGCAGCGATGGTGTGGTTTCAACCATGCGATAATTGTATCTACTTGAGCTCCTTCAGTCATGAATTGGGGCAAAATGCAATTGATGATAATAGAAGGATACATATTACATATTATGTATCCTTCTATTATCATCAATTGCATTTTGCCCTAATTCATAAGAATATTATTCTTATGATACGAAAATATTCTAAGCTGAGAATTTACACCAAATTCTGTGATACAAATAGTGCACTTGTGACTGCTACAAACTCATTTTTACAAACTGAAAAATACACTTGTAAAAGTAAGAATAAACTTGAGCTTTCTGCTTGTAGCATTCACATTTTTTTGGAAAGCACACACATCCAACGTAAGAACGAGAAAGAGATTTTCGGTAGCTACAGCGAAAATATAGCGCAAAATCAAGCTTTGACCTTCTCGACTAAGAAGGACAGCGTTAATTCACTGCAACATATTACATCTCACACATAGGCCTGGAGTGTGAGTAAGCTCTCTATCGCACAGCACATACATAATAGGCAATTCTTGTCACTCCGTTCGATGATTCTGAGCCTCGTTTACCTTGTCTAGAATGCAAATTTGTAAAATCCTAATTAGCAAATCAATATAGCTAAAAGAGATATCAAAAACTTTAAGCACCTGCACTTGCCGCATTAGAAGTAGTGCTTTCATTGCGTTTACCTACGGCACGCGCTTTTGGCCCCCAGTTTGGCTCTGGGTTCAATGGAAAACGCAGCGCCTTGACCTTATCTTTTGGTTCAGGGCGTTTTGAAGAAAAATTGGCCTCAAATTTGGGTGCTTTAATTAAAATGCGGCTGCCCGGAGTCTCCTCCCTGTCGCGCTTCTTGTTCAATGGATGCTTTTTTACCCAGCAGCGCATAATATCCCAAATAACATCGTTTGGCGCGGTGGTTTTGATAGCCTCCGGCACCTTATGAAACTGCGAGACTTCATAACCCGCGCAACGAATGGCACCTTTGATTTGTGACATCCGGGGGTTAGAGCAATGCAGAACCTTGCACAAACCCGGAAGAGTGTAGTGCAACGGTGCGTCCACCAGCTCTTCGGAAATCGTTGTCAGAAGTCCGTGAAGGCGGGGTTTTGTGGGAAAGCCCGTTGTGCTACTTTCAACTCGGTCCCGAATTTTAAGCACGATATCTCGGTTGTGAAGAGGTGCTGACCAAATTGGTCCCGCCATTTTGTATTTTCCATTGCACTGATCACAATTTTGACCGACGATAGGGCCGCGAGATGCGTGGTAAGTATTTCCGCTTGACACGCCTAGTGGCTGCAAATGAAAGCTTTCGCATTGAACACACTGAAAAACGTATGAAAGCTTGGTCATCGCCTTCTTGACGTTGACAGGTGACTTGAATACGCGAACAAATAGACGGACATAGAAATCAATGCTGCACGATGCAATCGGCACAATATGGCGTGCGTAGCGATTCGCCGACGACTCGATGGTTTGCAGTACCATTCGAAGTGCCATCTCGTGCAAGTAATGCGATTTGTTAGGTAGCGCTTGATAACGTGCGAAGCAAATTTCAGGCTGCTTCCCTGAAAGCACCGGCATATCTGTGCAAGTCACACACAGCAGTCCACCGTTCGTGACGCTCTGCACGGCGCTGTCTAAGAAGGTTGAGGCCGATCCGTATGGGTCCAGATCAATCACATCAAATTGGTCCATCGGCTTTCTATGGTTGTACATGACGTCAGTGGCATCTGCTTCATTTGGGACGACTCTATCTATCGGCAAATTATTCAATGCAATGTTGCGTTTGATATTTTCAGCAGCTGCAGGGTCCATGTCGTTCACTAGGATAGACTTAACACCTGGAATTTGCTGAAAATAGCGAATTGAACGCAAACCCGAGGCTGAAAGGGCCTCAAAGATACGTATACCATTCTCCTCGGCTGTCGCAACCAAGCGCGTCTCAATTTCCTCATCCGTGTAGTCCTTTGGCGTAAATGTGGCTCCCTGCCCCGCTGCGTTTGCAGACTTACGCGCCTCCTTAGTCAACTGTTCACGCGCGCGAATTCGTGCGAATTCGGATATCACAGCGATACTTAAGTCACGATTTAGCACTTGTACCGGATTGTAGAATACCTGATTCTGCTCTGGAAAGATTATGACGCCATTGCCTTCACGAATAATCTTGTGACCAGGTGGCGCAGTCTGATCGTGCAATTTCTGCGCAAGCAAAGCTGCAGACATGGCTTTGTTTAAGCTGCTGAGAAAGCACACGTGTCGGAAACGTATGAGAGAGATGCCGTTCAGTAGTCAACGAGGAACTGTGGTGACCTGACAATGACTGGTTATAGTAGTGATTCAACCACAAAAGCTAGAATACCGGTATGACTAATACGTGTTTTAAAACACCACATGATTTATGGGGAGCATGACATCATTTTTGTAGCGAACAGAGTTATTGTTTCATGGATGAACGGCCGTCCGCAGGCTACCGCAGAGGTATATTATGATATTGCATTGGCTCTAGACGGCACTATACAAAATAGTCTTTTCTGAAGTAACATCGTGCCTCATTCTTTATCAAAAATTTGACTAACTTGTGCAAAATTGAAGGTGGAGGTCAACGCAGTGCATTAAGACGCAAGGTAGGTGGAGGACGAAGCGCATATCGTCCTGTGCAGACCCCTGAAAGCGAATTAGCAGATGGTTTAAGTAAAAATGCATTACGAGACGACAAGAGCATCCATCGATCGGTGCAAGTATTGGACGACGCGACTGATGACGCGCCTCCACCTGCTCCGTTGCAGTCTTCGCTGCGAGCATCGCTTAGCAAGTCTTTGAAACAGAGTGCAAGCAACATAAAGACGGAAAAAAATTTGCAGGTGAAAAGTGAAGGACAGCGCCAGATAAATTTGGCGTCCTTGTCGTCGCCGCAAATGGGAAAAGGGAAGCCCAAAAAGTTTGTGAGCAGTTTGGCCCAATCGATTAAGCAGGATCATGAACTTCGATCAAAACAAGAAAAGAGTGAAGTAACAGGAAGAGCAGCACAGAGCCCAAGTTTTGATCGTTCAGTAGGTCGAGTTCCTTCACGACGCTCGAACAGTAGGGAACAGGTACAACACGTCAACAGCCGAAAGCATCCGCATCGTTCTCATAGTCGAGAGTCGGGGCAGCAATTTTCTAAAGATCAACGATCGTATCGATCGGGCCATCGATCTATGTCAAATAGTAGGCTAACGAGAAAAAATAGCACGGACAGTGTTTCTTCACAACGATCGGACTGCAGCGACAGAAGCTCACGCAGTGAGCGGTACAATAAGGAATCGTGGTCAAATTTATACGATGGAACGCAGCCTCCGCACACACTTTCTGACGGACTTTCTTCGCCTAAGCCAACCTCAGCCGGATCTACAATCAAAAGTATGTCGGATGTTTACATTCTCAAGGAGTACCATGTTCCTGCAACTACTGGTCGCTCGCTTAGTCGACAACAACAAGATACGTGGCAACGGTCATCTTTGAATGCAGGAGCTAATTGTCTACGTAGAATCAACTCATCTGCTTCAGTCAGATCACTGGGGGCATCTAGTTTGCAAGCTGCTTGCAGAGCAGATTCTGCAGATATAAAATTACATCCATCGGGCTTCGAAGGGCTGCCAGAAGACGCTTCTGTTACAGACTCGATTATGACGAAGTCAGAGCAATTTTGTGTTAATGAAAGTGAGAAAATCTCATCTGAAAAAACGCACTTGCTGCCTGTGGTAGATGAAACAGTCCGCAAACGTCTTAAGGACACTTTACGGGAACGTTTGGAGGCTCGAAGTCTGGAGCGTGGTGGCAGTCTGGCTAACATAAAAAAATCAATAAATCGAATGAGCCCGGTTGTGGGCGAGTCACAACAACACAGTCCACTCAATGAAAAGGATAAAAATATGAGAGAAAAAAGTTCAGAGGAACGTGATACTGATAAGGATGCAAGAACTCGCGACTACTATGCAATTCTTGACAAGGAAAACGCTGAGCAGGAAGCTACACGACGCGGTGCTCCCTTTAAGTCCTCATTGATTTCTTCAATTGAGTACAATGCGGCACCACTTCAATCCTCCCTCGCAGCATCAATTGATGCTACGCTGCCGCGAAAAATAGATTCGTCGATTGCCTTTCGATCCGTTCGGACTCTAAAATCATCATTGGCAGCTGCTGTCGCACCATCTCGATCAGCTACTGTACGCGCTAAAAAGTTGCAATATTCAATTTCTGAGTTGAGGAGGTACGCTAGCAGTGGTTTTGCTCTACGACTCGATGTAAAAGCTAACGGCAATTTATATGTATCTTTGTTATGCGGGAAGCAGACTCATGGCATTTGCCATTGCTCGGCCAGCAGATCTTATCGACATGAAGATTGATGAGGTCATTCGATTGCGCAATCCGTCTTCAGGCATTAAGCGTTCATTTAAACGACTTGGAGCGGGTAAGAATATCGAAAGGGTTAGATCTACAGTAAATAACACAAGAAAAGGCGATCGTCTCGATAATCGTACAGTGAGTGGTCAAGGTATTGTACGAAATGGTAGACGAGATAAGCAGGGAGGCCGGGGCGGACGCAGTGGTGGACGTTGCGGTCGTGGAGCTGGTGGCCGTGGCAATTTTGGTCGGCCGTCTCCTGTGTCGATGTATGATGGTCCTATTGAACCGTTAGCTGTGTCTGAAAATCGCTGGAAGCCTGGTAAGGAGAAAGAAGCTTCACCATACGAGAAGACATTGAGCAATGTTAAGTGTTTACTGAACAAACTCACGAGAGAGAAATTCGCGAAGTTGGCAAGCGAGCTTTGTGCAGTTGACATCAACAGTTTCGTCCTGTTAAGTTCAATAGTATCGGTAATAATGGATAAAGCATTGGAAGAGCCTAATTTTGCAGATGTGTACGCCGATCTGTGCAAAGAGTTTCATGCGCGAACAGTTAAAAAGACGTGGAGTTTTTTGAGTGTATTCAGTGATGAAAACGGCTCATACTATTGGACTGGGATCGACATAGCAACCTTTGCGGTGTTTGTTGGCCCTTTTGACAGTCCGCACAGTTGTCTTGAGGACTTCGATGCCTGTGAAAGTGCAGCATCTACTACAATTACTTGTGAAGACATTGGCTTCATCAAGTTTCGTCGTCACCGTGATTTCCTGATTGCTGTGGGAGAGAAGGAACCTGGAGCGTATTATTATTCAAAGCGGAAAATTAGCGAAATAGGCGTTGATGAGCCATTCGGTGGACCATTTGGTTCAGTCGAACTTGCTCACCACGCGTCTGGTGCACAAACCACTTTTACACGCTTACTCGTTAATCGCTGTCAAGGCGAGTTCGAAAAGACAAATAAGCACATCGGCTCGCAAGATTGGGCTATGGAAGATGAGGAGGCTGATCCTCATCGACGTGAAATTCTTGCCATACGTGCGAAAGCAAAGATGCTGGGTAACATTCGCTTCATCGGTGAATTATACAAGGTAGATTTAGTCAAGCAATCTGGAGTTCAAGGGTGTATCTTGTACTTGCTTGGATTGGAGTTAATTTGTGGAAAAGATGGTCAAGAAGCCCGGGCTCAAACAGCACGCTTTCCGGATGAACAGGATTTGGAAGCACTGTGCAAGATGTTAAGCACCGTTGGAAAAAAATTTGATCAGCCGAATACAAGAACAATCATGAAAATTATCATCTTGCGCATGGTTGAGCTTTCAAACGACAAGAAGTTGCCGTCTCGAGCTCGCTTCTTGATCAGAGATATACTAGAGACACGAGATCACATGTGGGAACCCCGACGAAAGGAGATGCAACAGAAGACGTTGGGTGAAATTCGGAAGGAGGCACAGAAACTCCAGGAGCAAGGGAAGAATGCACAGCACGACGATCTTCAACGATATCGCCAGAAGACACGAGTCTCAAGTGTTCAGCTTGCGAAGCAAAGCACCAATCTTATTGTTACAAAGACAGAAGAGCTCAAACTCGAAGAATCACCGAGCTTCCTGGCACAAATGCCAATTCGCATTAAGAGCATCATACATGAATATCTTTCAATAGTAGATTTAAATGAAGCTATTGCGTGCGTTCAGGAAATACCCGTACAACCGTTTCATATCGAGTTGGCCGAGCAGGTCATTAACACAGCGCTAGAAGGAAAGACATATGAACGGGAGCACGCGGTGGAATTGCTCGTAGGATTGTATGAGCGTGGGGCACTGGACGCAAACTCAATCCAAACAGCTTTGGTAAACGTCATGCAGTTTCTTGAAGACATGAAGATCGATTTGCCCTTGATTCACCAGTACTCCGCACTTATCCTTGGTCGTTTGGTCGTTACAGGTTGTTTTGGTTTGTCTTGGGTGATTTCAGAAGTCTTATGTCATTGCGTAGATTGCCATCTCGCTTCGTTGGTTTTTCCTGAGGTGCTGTCGGTGCTGGAATCAGAGACTGACGACAGGACAGTTATTCGGATGCTAACAGATGATGAAATCTCACCGGAGAGTGTATTGCCTGATGCAATGAGAAATGAAGTTAGTGTGAAAACGTACCTTCATGAAAATGGTATCCAGTTCTATTTTACTGACGAGGAGCAAGAACTGGATGAGGAGTCTACTGGAAAGCTTCGTGGCATTTTGGAAGAGTACCTCTTCGCCAAGGATATAAATGAAGTTTTACTGTGCATCGACGAGCTGGAAACAGTGCCCGATCGGTGGCGACACTTCGTTCACATTGTGCTGATGATAGGTATTGAAGTCAAACAGTCGGTACGCAAAAATCTGACCGAATTGCTTGTAATCCTTTCGACAAACGAAACAATTAAACCCGAAGATATCGAAACTGCTGCCGAAATTATACTAGATGATTATGAAGACTTGCGTGTTGATATTCCTCAAATTGCCGTCAATCTGAGCGAACTCTGGACACCTTTGTTTGCAAAGGAGATGCTATCAATTCAATGGTTGAACGAGGCTTGCTGTCATCTGATTGAAAGTGGTCGCCTTGCAGATATTCTGCATGCATTGTTGTCTACCTTTGAATCGCTAGACGGTCTTGAAGCTTTAGCAAATTGGTGGAAGAAGCAGGCAGACGGAGATGCCATTTTAGAGCAGATGTTAGCTACTGAAAATGGCAAACCTAAAGATGAGCGTCTCATAAAGTGGAAGTCTGTGCTTCAATGAGTCTTACGAGCAGACCTAGTATCACGGGTATACATACGTACATGTAGGCCACGTTTGATGTGAGTCAACATCTACGGATCGATTTAATGTCACGCTTTCATGGATTGGAAAGCGGGAGCAGAACTCGACGTGATAGTGTCATTGCTCTACGTCATGAGGTATGCACGTGCATGGAGAAAATGTGTGTTAAATTGGGCATGTAAGCTACAATGGATTGGGGATGATAGCTGTGTCTTTTGTCAGAATTATCTTATTGAATCGTGCATAAGCAGCGTCGGGCTGAGTCGGGCCCACAACCTGGTACTTCAGTATCCACTGCAGCAATGTCACTGGGCGCTGACACTTGCTCTCTATCACCTGCGGCCTGGGAAACCTCGTAAATGCGCACTTCATATGTACAGGTTGGGTTGAGGTCATTCAAAATCACCTCTACGGCACCGATTGGCGCATCCACATGTTGCGCACTCTGTTCCCAGTCTAAACCTGATTCCTTATACTCGTAGCGATACCAGCGGTCAGCAGTAGAAAGAGGCACTTCCAGCGTTACTGAAAATTCTGAGCGCCACTTAAGTTTTGCTGGCGCAGGTTTCCGCAAAGGCATGAGATTGACAACAATTACATAAGAAATTACAACAATTTATAATAGGTTTAAATTTCTTTCATACAATTCAAAATGTTCTGGGACAAGTTCCACCAAACGTTGCCGATGGTGATTTCTGAAATACCGTACTTCACAAAATAAAAGCCACTCAAAAAGATCACCTATTTCTAATTTTCGTTCACCTCTTAACATTAAGGTGATTTTTGTTTAACAAAAAATCACCACATG